ACGTTCTACAAGACGCAAGGTACCATACACTTTTCATATTACCTAATTTAATATTATTATTTAATACTTCACGCTTCCCAAAACATGAGGTCCTTGAAATATTGGGAAATTATCGTTCGTGGAAGTTTCGAGATTTGTATAGCGCGAGTTTCTTGACACGTCAGGAATCTATTTGAAACTCGAGTTTTGCATAGAGCGAGATTATTGAATATAAATATCCCCCCTTCTACTAATATTGTAAATTTTAACACAGCCTATACTAAGAGACTTTTCTTCTGGTGGAACAACTTGGCACTAAATTTATGTCAATATTGATGTTATAAGTTATGCCACCAAAAGAGAATATTTTTTATAAAAGATATGGTCTTCTCGAAAAATGCTTGTTTGATAAACTCTGCCTTTTTCATTAAACTAACAATGTTTATAAAAGGCATTCTCTTCGATGGGCTTTCTCTACAACTTGTCTTTTTATACAGTGTATTTGTAAATTCAACTAAACATGAGTAACCCAACCTTCTTGGGAAACTCTACGAATACATCCTCTTCTGGTGGCATCCTCTACTTATCGCTTGAGACGATGATTTGACAGTGGCAAACCTCCACTAGTCTTTTGAGCTTTTTGCCTTGTATTTACTATAGAGAGTTTCTCGAGAAACTTCTTGTTCCATCAAACCCCGACCTTCTCGAGAAACTAATCGTTTCTAAGAAGGCATTCTCTTCATGTGGCTTCATCAACTTATCAACCATGACATGGATCTGGTAGTGGTAGGCATGGTTTTCGAATTTCGTATTTATCCTCGATCCACTCTCCATCAAGTCAACAATGTTTCTCAGAAGGCATCCTCTTCCGATGACATCCTCTACTTAATGCATCAAACCCACTGATGGCACACCTCCACTCGTTCCCTCAGACTTTACTCAATTTGCTGCACTTGTATCAAGTTGAACTGATGTCTATCTAGTATTTTTATCTAAAGGTGTAGATGTAACCCGAGCGCCACTTAGACCAGTATCCTTTATTAACTCTAGAGTATACTTTCCTTGATTGATAACAATCACCTTCTTAGATCACAAAACTTCAAGATCTAGGAACCCAGTGATTCCCATTCCCGCCAATTTTATCTTGGTGTTTGGTATTGGGGACATATGGGCAGGGGCCCTACTCCATTTAATGAATCTATGTCTAGTTTTGAAAAATGAAATTTGAATCTTAAAGTGCTTTGCTTGGTACAACTACAATTATTATCTTTCATTTTCCTCCCACCAACCTTTCATCTATTGTTATGGAGACCCTTCACAACTATATTTAATGAGTTTGGTAACTCATGCAATATGACTTCGACAATTTATCATAAGAGTAGATGTCCTTTACAACTCAAAACAAATATATATATGTGTGTGTGTGTTGGGGGGTTAGCAAATCCATATATGAGGATAGCTATGGGTATTGTAGGTGGAGGTTTAGGGGTTAAAAAGTACCATTGACGATGACCATTATTGGGCCATCAGTAGGGTTTACTTCCGACAAAGTGAGAAACGAAGACTTTCAGTCATCGATGAATGTAATAAAAAAAGGTTTGGGAATTGCTCGACTGTGTTGAACTTTATGGAACAAGACAATAATTCTTCTGTAAGCTATAATATTGTATTGAAATTCAATTCAGTCCCAACTGTTTCGCATGCGAATCCACAACCATTACACTATTTAGTTTGAACAATGTATAGGGTTTGGATTATAAAATCTATGCCCATGCCCATGCACTGTTCTGATTCACTGTTCCAGGTCAGAATCAGGTCTTCGACACACTGTTTTAAACAACAACCTTCGCAATGTTTCTTATGGTAGATTTGGGTTGGGCTAATATGCTCATCTTTGCATTTTTTCCTCAGCTTATGCTCTTGGTTTTCTTGCCCCAATATCCCATGGGGATAAATTAATTGGCCTAATAGGGCACCACACTTTTTATTTTTGGGAATTCGGCAAATGCTACAGCATCATTGTTCCCTTGGATATTATTTTTTAATGGATCTTAATGAGTGGGTTCCATGTGAGTCATTAAATTATTGTAATAAATGAGACTCATCACCTCGAGGTGACAAGTTCATTAAAAAATAAAAAAATTATAAGTCATTTGATTTTTTTTTTTAAATAATAGAACTCATCACCTCACTCAATTTCAAAAAATGTAGTTGTTTATAGTTGTTGGTTAACGGGCAACAACCAACAACAGTCACTTGGGTAACAATCATCATAGAACTCGTCATCTCGAAGTAATTAGTTTCGCTGAATTTTTGAATCCCCTGGTCGTTTATAGTCGTTGGGGCTAAAAATAGGAGTTTGGGGTTTTGGTTTTTCACTATAATTTGTATCGAAAAAATTGAAAAAAAAAATTCTTACTTTATGTGAAAATCCTGAAAAATGGCTTTCCGAGAGGAAATGCTACGCCTCGATAATGTTCATATTTAGTTGATCAAACTCCGATCCGAAGAAGAACGGAGCATTCGTCAGAGCGGGATGACATCTTAATATCTGCATCAGTGGATGATGATATATTTTTAGCAATTTGGTCCATTTCCAGTCATATTTGTATGTGGCTTTAAGGTGTACCTGGTGCTGATTGTTGTTCTTATCGAACGTTGGTGGCCTGAGACACACAATTTTTATTTCTCGAGTGGTGAAGCGACGATTACTTTAGGAGACACACTTGTCAACTCCGTGTTCCTGTGGATGGTGTCGTCGTCATGAGGCAGAACAATTACGACCCCATGATGTTGATATACGAAGTTTTAGGAAAGTTTTCACCAATCTGAGGTCATGGATGTATATCGAACAGGATGGCGTGGTTAGAGTCTGAATTTCAAGTGACGAACGAGTCTACCAATAACGAGATTATTTTTACATCTCGAGCATATTTTCTCCAACTGATCAAGGGGTATTATTACCGGATAAATAATGTAATACACTCAGTATCTGTGTATATTAAATAACTTCACTGAGTGTCGTAATACCAATTGGAACTAGCGATTTTAGCCTTTTTGTACCGAGAGCTTTGCAAGGTTGCAATTGTCGAGCGGGGTCGAAACGTCGATGTAGCACACTGTCTAATATTGCTACAATCGTGGGCTTGGTACCGATTCCACTTTTTCCGCCAATTACAAATGCTTCGGTTCAGTTTTCCCTGGCTAGAAAGTAAATTTTTAATTTCATTTTTAACAAATTTATTAATTTGATTAATTTAATTAATTTTTATATGTTTTTAATATTTTTTATTTTTAAATATTTTAGATGACACTATGAAATAATTGAGACGAAGTTGTCGGGTGCCACTTCAAAAGATATACAGATGAAGATCGACATCGTTAGTCAATATGCGGTATGTATTAGCTCTTTCATTTTTTTTTGTTGAAATTTTTTAACTTTATATATACAAACTTTGATAATTAATATTTACAGTTTTCTTGGCTTCTGTATGCTGACGATGAGAACTACCGATTATTGCCATCGGGATTTTTTTATGGGTCTGATTTATGGTGTGTCGCGACTCATGCATTACATTTTGTGATTGTTGAGTGGCACACCGCTGATAGAGTATTTTGACAGTTTGCGTCTCATCAGTCAATTCCTATGCAAATCGTTGATATGGATGCGCTCCATATAATTGATACGCTTGGGAAACATACCAAAAATTGATCGACGAAGCACGCTTACTACATTGAGCAATGGAATCAGTGTCACCTATTGGTCCTCATACGTTACAAAATTACACCGATGAACCTAGATTTCGACCATTCTCCTTATTTCTGAAATTACGAAGCAAATGAGAAACTATATCTCACGCCACCAGAACATAGGGGAGAATGGGAACAAAACAAGGCCAGATTCACTGAGTCTAAGAAGAAATCATCGTCGTCGTCGTCTTCAGCATCTGCATCTGAAGATTACTATTATGAATCTCAAGCTAGCTTTGGTTTCTATCTTGCACATCATACTTCAACCGAGACCTTGCCGATTTGGGTTGGAGGTTCACGGAATGCAATGTAACGCACTCGAGCATCTTCGACAGGACATGCGAGTGAGGGTGAATGAGATCATATCATATATGGTCAACAACGTAGCAAGCAAGTCGATTCAGTAACGGCAATAATGGCGTCAAATACCATAAGCCCATCACCTTTTTTCGAATGTAGATCTCAAAGTGTGTTAAGTACATCTCTTTTTGAACAATGAAACCAAGATGATGATGATGACGACGACGACGATGATCAAGGCCGACGACCCTGACGTAGTTGACGAACTCCGCGCCATTATCATTCGACCACTCATCGACATCGTCAATAACTTAAAAAATATAAATAAATTTTCTTTGTAAACAATTTACTTTTTAATACAATTATTATTTTACTTTGTAATTTAATTTGTTTTTAAATTTAATCTGGAGGAGGTGACGAGTTCAAAGTGACAATTGTTGTTGGCTGTTGACTAATAGTTATAAATGTCTATATTTTTTTTGAATTCGAGGTGTTATGACACTATAACATTTGCCGTATTCCCCAAAATAAAAAGTGGGGTGTCCTATTGGACCAATTAAATTACCCCGCATGGGGGTATTGGGTCAAAAAAACCTATGTTCTTTGCTTGTTATGCTGGGTTGGACTGTGAGCAAAGTTCTTCAAACGCTGTTTTTCCGCCCACAAGAATCGAACCTATAACTTTACTCAAAGATCGCATTTGAGCATGGGGCCATCAGAGTAGAGCTTAGATGATATTGGGCTTGGATACAAACATAATCGATTCAACACGAAGAAACCGATGTTGCTGTTAATATTCTGCGGTTTCAACTCTCTTCATCAATAATATTTGTTATGAATCTCTAAGCACGATAGATGTAATACGAAAATGGTTTCCATAAATACGCATGGGAGTGGAGAACCGAATAATTTTCTGTAGGAAACCCAGTTCATGGATTTTAATTAAAAGAAACAAGCAGGTAACAAAACAGTGGCATCAAAGACAACCAAACAAGGTCCCTTTGAATCATACATGTAAATTACAAAAGCAGATTTTCATGAAGGATGAACCTTGTTAGTGGAAAGTCCCTTGAAAGCAGATTTCATAGAAGCTTCAGTATACAATTTCGAGGCAATAGTTGCCACTTTCTCCATCAAATTCCCCATTCTTCTAGCCTCCTCGGCTGCATCGAGTTCGTCCCTCGAGTCCCGTTCCATTTCCTCTTCGAACCGCCTGAACTCGTCCATCGCCGTCTCCATGACCGAGTCGAGATACTCCTCGGCTTCCTGCACTGTTATTTCGGGTTGTTTAGCTTGCTCTTCGTTTTCCAGCTCCGTGGCTGCCCATGCCTTGTAAGAGTCGATCTCGAAGAGCTTTACTAGGTCTTCCATGGCCGATGGATCGAAGTTCTTGTCTCGTAAAGCTTGATCTGACAGGAAGGTGAATTGGGAGAGGAGGGCTTCCATTTGCTTTTTGGCGCAGAAATATAGGTATGAATTCAAGCGCAGATCTACCTAATCAACACTATTATGCAGATGCTTCAATGAAGAAAAACAAGTAGCGATTGTGATTTCTATATAATTCTCTAATCTTATCTCGTTCTATTACTTGCCTTTCCTATATGGGCAAAGAGTAAACCAGTGGACCGTTGGAGCTCTTTTCATTTAATTACGGGAAACCTAATTGGTGCTTAATTAATGAATAATGACATTGCTAAACTAGTAATAAACTAATAATATTAACCACAAATAAAATTAATGATTTTTTAATTATATTTTAATGATTATTTTAAACTTTAAAAAAATTATAAAACGATCACTAGATTTATCAAATTATTATAAAATCATCATTACGGTGTTATAACAAGTATGAAAATTTGATAAATATAAGCATAATTATGTTACCTTTAACTTGAATCTTTTGAACCCTCTGAAGAAAGGCGAGAAGTGGCTGGCATTGGTACCTTATCCCAATCAAAGCAAGGGAATCTTTAACGTAGTGAAAGGTAGGGACACGGGCATTTGACATTGTGAGGCAACAAGATTGAAAAGTAAGGTTTTTCAGGGTTGCCGATAATGTAAATTTAGGTACAGTGGGGTCTGACAGATCAGGAGCACACACAAATTGGAATCAAAACAAAACAATGTGATGTGGACCTTCCTTGGATGACCGTTCAAAATACATCCACGTACTAACCTTTTCAATTTTACATAAACACAATCATCTAGTTATTACCCTTTTCCTTTTTTTAATTCCAATTCCAAATTTAATTTAACATAAACTTTTTTAATAAAAATTAGTTAAACAAATGGAGTACTATTTAGTATGTGGTTTTATCATTTTTTCAATTAAATCTTTGTTTTTTCTTTAACTTTTAATCAATAGTCATTTCGACACATCACTTTAACATGCACAATCTCCAAGCATCACATTATCAAAAATAATTAGTAAATTATATATATATCAAATTCAAAGATTAAATTTTTATTTATCCATAAATTAAACTTTAAATTTAGCAAGAAGAATATGAGCGGCCATCCTAGGCCTATTATTGACCCATTACGAATTTCGGGTTTTCTATTTAGCCCATTAAGACTTCCGGATTTTTATTTCGGAGAATACGACAAATGATACAGTGAATATGGAACTCGTCATATCATATCGTGTTTAAAAAATTGAATAAAAATTATTTTTTTATTGGAAGTGACGAGTTTCAATACACTATAGATCCCAAAATAAAAGTATATGTGACCTATTTTGCAAAAAATTTTACTGGACTGCCCTATTAGACAAAAAAAACCCTATTTCTGTACCTCCACTGTTAACTTCAAAAAGAGATCCAAAAACTGTTATTTTGGTACTTAAATTTTTTATTTTTTACTCTAATATTTAAATTATCATATTATATCAATTTATTAAAATATTAATAAAAATAAAAGAATATCAGCCAATAACAATATATTACGCGACTGCCTATTCATATGATAAATGATAGTGTCATATATGAGATTTAAAGAAAATAAAAAGTTTTTTTTCCTAACAATTAGAAATTTGAAGAAAAAATAAATAAAAAGAAAGGGTACGAGGAGGGAAGGAAAAGTTTGTCCAATAAGCTCAACACAACTGCTCCTAGCGTCGGTAGTTATTGTCTAAATCAAAGCGAACATCACCCATTGAAAACGTACCATAAATACGTATTCACATAATTTATCATTTTAATTGGTTGGAAAGTAGGTCCTTGACTTATCATTGGTCCACATGCTTTGCCTTTATTGGTCAACTTGTTCTCTCTCCCACTTCAAAATAAGTTCAAGGATATGTACTCTCCACCAAGCATGTGAGGTGTGAACCTTTTCTATATATATAAAAATAAATAAATGTCAATTACCACTTTGCCCACCATTTCAATTTCAACCAACTTTATTTTAAAGTTAAGTTTAAGGTTACACATATAAGTCATAATTGCTTAAAAATAAGATATTTTAAAAAATAATACTATTTTTATCATTGAGATTTTTAATATTATTGTCCGGTGATCGTGGCCATGATTTTAGTTTAAATATAATTAATTTTAATTTAAATATTTAGAAATATATATATTTGAATATTATATATTAAAGGTTCAATACCGAGTGATTGGAAAATAATTAAATGCCAGTAACTTGCAACGACAACTGTACATTGACAATTCACGAATTTGTTTATCTTTAATATTTGATTTTAATATAACAGCACAAATTTTATAAAGAATATTCGAAAATATATAGTATATTTAAGTTTTATATAATTAACGATGATTATTATTTGAAATGTGTCCATTAATATATGCCCCTCTCCTCGTTCACTTTGCATTTTCCTTTATTGAGAAAAATATCTAACATATTCAAGTTTATATATAATTAAATGATGATTATCTTTTTAAATATTTTATATTTTAAAAAATAAATTTGTTTTATAAAAGGAAAATAATAACAAACTATATACGGTGCTCTATCCCTTTCCTTAGCGTCTCCTTTAACGTTTGGTGGCCATAATAGAAGTAATTGGGGTAAAGCAGTTACATTAAAAATAATATAAATATAAAGATTATTATTATTTTATCTCAAACTAATTTAAAATCTCTATAAAGTCGATGCGTCAAATTTACAAAAACTCGTCTCATTTCAAATTTTCAATTAGTAAATCGCACCACTAGTCAATAAATTTTGTATTCAATATCGATTTCACCATTATATTTTAAAATGCTTTGATTTTAGCATTGAATTTTTGTTTGCATTTTAATTAAAATATTTAATTGTTAAATCATTAGCGACACGATTCTATGATCAATTTTCCCTTGTTTTCCTACGAAAAATCACTAGTATTCAATTATCACTCAGCACATGTCATCATTATGACAAGATCAATATCAAAACATTACATTTATTTCTATTTTTTCTCAATTGATTTCCTACGAAATCTACTCAAGAGCGATTAAAAAAATCTAAAAATTTGATGTTCTAATACTTCAATTCCCTTCAACAATTGTCCAATTAAACTAATTTATATGCATATATATATATATATATATATATATTTATTTATTTATTGAATGAATATTTCTCACCATTTAAATATTTGGACAAACACTAATACTATGTGGGATTGAGCATTACTAACACTTGTTTCCAATATAATGTGATTATTCAGGAAACAATTAACAATCATGCACCTTAAAACAACTGAATCATCAACCAATTGCATTAGTATTATACGATTAAATATGTCATAATTAAAAGTCAATCTACAATCAATCGCGATTATTGCAATTTAAGCAAAACATTAAAAAATAATATCACTATTTAAGGCTCAATCCCACATAGTATTGGGAACAAGTGTTGGTAATGCTCAATCCCACATAGTATTGTAAACACTATTGGAAATGGTATTTAAGGCTTGACTTTCCACTTCCTTGTTGAGTGATAGAGAACAAGGGAGACTCTCGTGCGTCGCCGCCGCCGCCTTCTCGTCTCGTCTCGTCTCGGGTCTGGTCGTGGTCGTGGTAATACGTGTCTTCGACACGTCCGCGCGAATACTATCTTTTTAGAGAAAATTCTTAAGAAACAAATGCAATACCACCAGTCGTTACGATTTTGGACTAAGCAACGCGAACTTCGACTATCGCAACGAATTTGGAATAAATCACAACGCGAACTTCGACTATCGCAATGCGAATATGTAAATCGCAATGCGATAGTCGAAGTTCGCGTTGCGATAGTCGAATTTGGAAAATCGCAACGCGAACTTCGACTATCGCAATGCGAATATGTAAATCGCAATGCGATAGTCGAAGTTCGCGTTGCGATAGTCCAAGTTCGCATTGCGATAGTCGAAGTTCGCGTTGCGATTTTCCAAATTCGACTATCGCAACGCGAACTTCGACTATCGCATTGCGATTTACATATTCGCATTGCGATAGTCCAAGTTCGCATTGCGATAGTCCAAGTTCGCATTGCGATAGTCGAAGTTCGCGTTGCGAATCTGGAAACTGATTTGCGATACCGAAGATCGCGTTGCGAATTATCGATCGCAGTGCGATTTAGTTGGTCATTTTGGCAAATCCAAAAAAAAGTTGATTAAAATCGTATATTATAATGCATTTTTTGTCAATGAGATTATTTTCTCTAAATAAAAATCCTAAATTTGATGAGAAAGATGGTAATATAAAAAAAAATCTTTTAACGTCTACGCCAATACCAAAGTGCACATCATCCTAGTGTTATTTAATAGCTAAATGTCTTAATTGAAATGTAATAACTTATAATGTTAAAATTGAAACGTCTTAAAGTTCAATGCTAAAATACGTACCTAATATAAAGTATAATGACTAATAGTGTAGGTTACCCTTGAAGAAAATAAAAGAAAAAAAGAGAGAAAGGGTGGTGTCAAAATTTAATAGTTAATAGCAAATACAGAGAGGGAGGGGCATATGCATTGCCCACCATTAACGCTTGTCTCTCAATCCACACCTTTTCTTCCCACAACCCTCAGCAAAGCTACACCTTGTTGTTGTTGGTGTTGGTAAGTGGAGGTTTCCAGAGAGAGAGAGAGAGTAAGTGAAAAAGAAGAAGAAGAAAATGATCCAAGTTATTCACAGATAAAGAGAGAAAGGTAGAGATATTGTTGGGTATTTTCCCTTTTTTCCCCAGATGCACTTTCAATGGGGAAATATGAGGACCAAAATCTGCAACAGCAAAGGGAGCAGGGTCTTGAATCAAGGAACAATGAAGGGCATTCGGGATTCTTGTGTGGAAGATGTTGGATGGTCTTGTCGAGTCTTTCAAGTGAGTTCAGTTTCAGATGTGTTTTTGTTTCGTTCCTCAGCTTGTCGGTTTTGCTGCCTGGGATTTTCTGGATCCTTCCTATGCGATCTTCGAACTCTGGGTTTGATGCTAAGCTAGCTATTAAGCTCAGTGGTAAGACTTCTTTCAAATTTAGCTTCTCATATTTTATGCGTGGTTAGGGCTTAATTCATGGTTTTTATGATGTTTCTAGCTAATGGGTATGTTGATTTTTCATTGTATTTTTGGGGTTTAATTTAGATCCTCTATTATTGAGAGGTATTGGGTATTTTCCTGATTGATGTCTGATTTACCTTTTAATTATGTTGATTCTCTGATGGCTCCTGTTATAAATTGATACATGATAATATTTAATTTACCCTTCTGGTACTTGTGAATGACTTTTAGATTCAAAATTTATTTTAAACATGGAATTCTGTTGTTGTAGAATATGATGTTTGGTTTGTTTTTCTTTCATATGTTCCTGATGTTCTATGTGAGAAAATTGTAGTTTTTTGACTTGTTTTAATGGATGTTATCGGCAAAAGTCCCAGAGGGGGATGGATTTATTTAACCTTCTAGTAGAATTTCTGTGAGTGCATGTTCTTTTTTTTATGACTATATGGAACTGCATTTTCTATTTTAGTACAATTTATTTTTATGATAAGATGTGGTTCGAATCAAAATAGTGTCTTAGGAAGTGATTGTTTTTCTATATTTATAGTATTTCTCCTTTTAGCAAAAGAAGCAAACACTTAATGGTTTGTTTCAATGGTTTCCTCTCCTTTCTTTCTTGTAAATGAAAATGTGAAATTTGTGAGACAAGTGCTATTTTTTATTGTTTTCCATACCTTAAATTGATGACCGATTGATCACATAGAAACTGGTGATTTGATGTCGTGCCATTTAATCGTTTCTTTATTGAATCCAACGGTCTTCCTTGACTCGTTATTTCTTTCTTGATTAGAAAGCAGTATGTGCCTTTTTGCTTCCATTGTATTTCCATCACAGTGAATGACCTTTTCAGTTCAGTGATAGGTTTCCGTAAATGATTTTCCTTGTTTCTTGCTTATATATTCGTTTATTCTTTACAGCCCCGGTCCATGCACGTTTTACTCTTCAGAAACCAGTTTCAGAGCTTGTTCAACATATTGAAAAGATGGAGTATGATATCTATGAAGAATTAGCCGTTCCGGATACCAAGGTTATACTCTCAACTTCTTCCATTGCATTACACATAATTACTTCTATATTATGTGAAAACTTGATCTAAAGCTACTCTTTTTCAACAGGTGGCTATCCTATCCATGCATCAGTCAGATGTATCTAACTCTACTAATGTGGTGTTTGGTGTTCTTTCCAATTCGATAAGAGTCCATAAGTCCAGTAGCCCTTAGCGTGCTGAGATCATCTTTAATTGAGCTGTTTCTTCGGCAATCCAATCTAACTTTGACGTCTTCAATTTTCGGGCAGCCTTCTGACTTTGAGATTGTGAAGTTTCGTGGTGGCATCACTGTGATCCCTGTTCAATCTGCTTCCATATTTCAGATAACCCAGTTTCTGTTTAATTTTACTTTGTATAACTCAATGTCTGAAATAGAGGACAAGTGCATCGAGTTGAAGGATCAACTTAAGTATGGACTACGCCTGAGGTCTTATGAGGTATAATATCACTCTCGAGCAATTCTGACACATGACAATTTCATCAATGCTTTGTTTTTGGGCATCATAACCCTAGTTTAGGAAATTAAGACCATGAAGTTCCATCATTGCGATGAAACATAAATTCTGGGTTGTGGAGAGAGGGAAGAGGAAGATTTTTTGTCATAAGGTTTTGTACCCTTTGATGACCTAATGTTCGAGTCCTATTTGTTTGTTTGTTATAATTATTTTTATTTGTTCGTTGCAGAACTTGTTTGTGCAATTAACAAACAAAAATGGCTCCACTATGTCGTCACCAGTTATAGTTCAGGCTTCGGTGATGTCAGATAATTATGGTAACCTTCTGCCTCAGAGATTAAAGCAGTTGGCTCAAATCATCACGCACTATCCTGCAAGGAATCTTGGTCTCAATAACTCGGTGTTTGGTAAAGTTAAAAGCATTAGCTTATCATCTTGTTTGAAGGGTACACTTCATGCTATTCCTCCCACTCCTTCTCCGGCTTTGGCTCTAGGGCCATCGATTTCACCGAATCCTAATTCTGCACCAAGTCGCCCTCCAGCATTGGCACCAAATGTTGCTGCTTCTCCATCTGCCTGTAGTCCCCTGCATTCACCGGGTCATAGAAGCGATCTCAACCCTTCTCTTCCTCCAATTTCTCCTGCATCTTCTATTGCATCAATTCACTCCCCTCCCCCTTGTCCGTATTCTCGTCCTGCAGTTCCACCAAGCCATCCCTTAAGATCTCATTCCCACTTAATTCCTAAGCACCCACCAGTAATGAGTCCCCAGTCACAGTTGTCCCCGAGTCTACCACCAAGTCCTTCAGTTTCTTATGGATCCCGGGCCGGCCAAGGTATGGAGCGAACAAAAGGCCCAGTTTCTGCACCGCTTGCTAAGTCTCCATCAGCACAATCTCCGTCATGTAAGCATCTATGCTAAGTGAACTATGCGATTCTGCTTATGTTCTTTTTCCATTTTATAATAAGATTCATCCTGTTCGCATCTATCTATAGCTTGTTAATGGTGGTTTCAACCGTGGAAATGCCAGTTGGACATGCATTTGTTTTTGATTATCAATCCAATTATAGCTAATTGTAATGATTGTTTTTTGTGATCATTGTCCTGCAGCTGTAGGGTACGTGTTTTCCCTTCGGAATTCTGTTTGTTAGGAGTTTTGGGAGTCTTGATCTTTCTTCTCCTTTTATGATCGAATTGATTAATTGTGCCATACCAACCGAAGTTCCAATACATACGAAAGTCCATGGCAGGTGATGTTTATTTTCCAATTTGATATGGCAAGGACGGTAGAACCACCTGTGAATAACCCAAGAAGCATCGAAGTTTTTCCTTTTCCTTTAGTCAATGCAATTGATCTATACGCAAACGAGATGGAAACATGACTGCTGTCAAAGCCGGAAAGTTTGGCAGGCCACTCATCTGACTTCGCTTACAGTATCATCACACACAAAAACGTGGGACGTTTTTCCCAAAGGGAATAACTCCTAGAGGTGGTTTGACCACTTGAGAAGCCGGTATACCTCGTTCGTTTCAAGAACCATCTACCATATTGATTCAAGTGGAAAGATATGCTGTTACATTTGAGCAACTATAATGTAGGGTAAAGGCGAAATGTAAAAGCTAGTGTTTTATAATAATGAAGGATATATGAAAATAAGAGTATGTACTTGTATGAATATGGCATGTTGATTAGATTCTTCTAATGAATGGGGAGGAACAAGTTAATGAACCTAGAATGGTTGAAGTACAATCCGGTCCATTGAGGTTTACATTATTCTGCCAGATAAGTTAAAAGGACCGTGCTTGTCCCGAGAATATTCTCCGACCACTGTGGCCTTAGCTTCATATTTCCAGGCAGGTCCAAGATGACAGGATATTGCTTCTACACCAAGCAAGCAAAAGACAGCACAGAACCAGCCTAGATAAACCAATAATCAATTATCAACCCACGGTTTCCATAAATCCCATGGAAAAGAAACAATTATGAATGCAAGTCGTTCTTCACGAATCGTATCTACCCAATCTTACCTTAATTAGGTCCCCAAAGCAACAGCATCTCTAGTGTTATCAGTTGTGTTCAGTGTGCATCGGAAAATTCTGTAGACCAGCATCTGTTAGCCTTTGTTTTTAATACAGACATGTGGTTGATAGGACATGAGGAAAACTTATAAGGACATTAACGAGTAACTGAGGGTACTTTGCGGGAGGACCGGAGAAAAAAACCCTACGCGCTGTGACAGATAACTGCTGCTGATAATGATGGTGGCCGTGGGTCCACCTCTTGATGACGTCGATGAGACCTGGTCTACTCCCACCGGAAGTGTGGCCATAACCTCTTTTTTTTTTAGCCAGTGCTTTGTTTTCATTGATTTTTGTTTCTTTTTTAAGATTTAACGAGGAATGTAAGAGTAGGGACTATAAATATTTTACATGAATATAACAAGTATACATACAAAAGCACCCATTTCTATATCGAAACAATGACTAAACCCTAACCCTAGGGCTGAACACTAAGCTCAAAGCAGTAGTAATATTTTCTTCATGTGTAAGTACTGCAGATACATAAGAAGCCATGTAACTTGTAAGAAAATTTGCTGGAAGCAGTAACAAAACATGAAACAACTTAATTTCCAAGAAAACTTATGTTTTTCTTTGCTGAGTTGAACTGGGACATCTTGCAGGACAGATATGTAAAAGAAAAAGAACAGTAACATACCTGGTAAAGCTCCAATAACTTGTCATTTTCTCATCTATGTTTTGCCTTGAAAGTTAGTATAATATAGATTCAAAATATATATATATATACACACATACATATATGCATGCCCGCCTTCGAAAGCGTTGAAAATATTACCATTATTAGCACGCTGGTGATTTTTAGAGTAGACAGAAGCTATAGAATGAACCAAGATGGCCACCAGGAGCTAGCTGTGGGAAAAGCATAGCAGCTGGGTTACAGAATTTCTAGATATATTATATATATGTTAGTAATATACGTATATACGTACATATATATATGTAAACAATAAGCAAGGAGAAGATTAAGCTCTGACAATTGATCCTACCCTCGCGAGAGAGATTACTTGCATTGGTTCTGCTACCGAGAAAATCGAGATATCGGTGCGTCCAGTGAGAGAATGCACGAAGAGGCCCTGAAGAAAGGAACCGAGTTCGCAATCGGGTAAGCCCATTCGCAAGATCGTCGACAACGAAACCGATGTCCCGAAAAAGCATTTCACCGGTTTGATCATCATCGGCGGTGGCAGTGTCGTTATCATCACCGATCTCGTAGCGACAAACGGGACAGGTGTTGTGAATGCTCAACCAAGGTACGATACAATCAGAGTGATACAAATGCTTGCACGGTAGCTCTTTTGCTTCGCCATCGACCTTGAACTCATCCCTGCAAACGGGGCAGTGAGTGACGTTTATCAGATGGTTTTCCGTGATTTTCACCACCGGCAACGCTTCGATGGCTGAAGCAGCCGCTGGTGGCGGCCCTGGCCTGTCGTTCCCAGTTAAGCCTTCGATGAAACCATCTATCTCGTTGCCTGTATCCTGGGGCGCAACGATAGAACTCGACTGCTCGCGAGGTCGTTCAACGAGAGTGACCATAGGTCTCATCTCGGGTCCTGATTGATCCCAACGAGTTCTTCTATTAGTGCTTTGACGCCTGGTCAAAGGGTCGAGAGCGGCGGCCAGCGTATCGAATAACCTGGTAGTCGTCTCGTAGGGTTCGAGGCCATGATCAGCTTGAAGCCTAGGCCTTGAGACATCCAGCTCGTGACTAAGTTGACGAAAACAATGGGGACAATAAGTTTCAAAAGGGTTTGGATTGGTGAACCTTACGGTTCGTTGGCAATGGAGACACCAGAAATAATGGTAGGTTCTCATCCTACGGACTCCATTAACTATAACACCAGGACGACGATGGCTGCTTAGAGACATGGTTCGGTTGGCTATGAAAATGGATTAATGTGTGTTTTTAGAAATGGTTTTTTCCAGATTATGGAAGAAGAATTCAGAGCTCATTATATACGTGAGAAAGAGAGGAGAGAATATCTTGGAGACATGCAGCAAAGGATTCCTTTTCTCTTTGACATGTTCTGTATTTTCCTGGATTTGTGTTCTTCACTTTCCCCAGTTTTTCTGTCTTACTTGTAGGAAAAGCAAAGGATGAATTGATAATTGATGTTAACTCGTTGTATAGTTTTTGTTTGTAGAGAGTTAACTTGAATCAATGGTTTTTAATTTCCTTTTCTAAGGTTATTTTCTGTTTGAGGTATCGTTGTAATGAATTGCAAAATTTTACTTATTTAAATGCTAAAATATTTATAAATTAAAGTTTAGAAATACATTGTATTAACATGTAATATGTATAATGATATAATTTTGAAGTAAATGAATATAAATTCAAATTGTAATTATTATGATGTATTATACATATTGAATAATTTAGGAAATAACAACGAAAATTATATGCATATGATGAATATCAAATATACATAGAAATAATCAACGGGTTAGTTTAATTAGTAACTAATTTAATATCGTTTAAGTAAGGTCTCAGGTTTGAGTTATTGTAAATGTAGAAAATCTCCGTTGTAGACTCACCCACCAAAGTTAGGCGTGCGACCCGGATCGATCAAGATTAACCAAGACGAAGATGTGGAACTGGATTACAATAATATATATTTAATTTAAATTTAGACAAAGATGACGAATATACAATTGAGACATAATACGAACATTGAATTATTTATCTAAATTAAAAAGTACGAAAAAACTATTTAAAATAATTTATTATAAAAGACAACACAAAGATGGATAAAAATAAAGGATTAAATTGTCAAGTCGATCTTAAAATAAATTGGTGGCTGAAAAGAACTCTCACTTTCAGTTTGTATGGCCCAAGAAAATGAGCCCACAACGTGACAACGACACGATCCAAACTCAAAGAGCAGGCTGATTCCACTCGCTAAAATGGCAACCGAGTCAACTCACTTATTTTTCCTCGCCAATCGGATTGGGTTGGGTCAGCCGAACCATCCATCAAAAACCACCCCAAATCCCTTATGCCTCTCTCTCTTTTAGTTTCTCTCTCACTTCGTGGGAGGAAAGTATAAGCAACTTTCTCTCCATCCAAATGCGCGAAAATGTCTCATATAGTCTTCCAAGCATCTCCGCTTCCCAAAACATTGTTATTAAAACAGAGACTGCCGCCCCAGGCTCATCCTTTATCGTGTAGGTTCAAGAAGAATCAAACGGTGAGATGTTCTTCATCTTCTTTAATCGACGGTGTTGATTACTCCGTCGCTACTCTCGAGCGTTGTTTCTCGGCATCTCCGGCTCCGTTGGAGCTCGGCTCTTCGGGTTCGAGTGAGGTGGAGCCGGTTATGAAAGGAGGAAAACACGGTGCGTTTGGTGCGGTTACTTTGGAGAAAGGGAAACTTGACATGACTCAGCGTCTAGCCCTGAGGTTGGCTTTCAATGATGTAGCTTTTGCGTAATGAGTTAATTAAGCTTAATTAGAGCAAGAACTTGCTTAGTATTTAGATATCAAAACTCCGCAAATATTAAAGGCTAGTTTTTTTTATCAAATATGTGGAGAAAAGGGTTGTCTTGAATTTAACTAACGATTTTATATACTTCAGTAAAAAGATTTTCATATGTAGAATGAATTCAGATGGAAAATTTAACTTATTTCTGTTATTTAAGCTGTAAGAAGCTAACAGAGAAACTTTCTGCTTGAAAGTTTTTATCTTCTTGTTAAATTAATGAAATTCGATATGTTATACCTTTCATAACGTGTAATTTCAAAATAGGTTTTTAAATATTAGTTTAGGATCAAAACCCTGCAACACACAATGGTGAAAATGGAATGTGCTTCGGACCTTTTGGTGTTGTTTTTTTGTAAAACTCTTAAACATTTGCAGTGCTAAATTAGGAACACAGTTATTTTTGTTTGAATCTTAAGGTATCCTGCCCACATGTGATCTAGCTCTCATGATTTACATATGAATTTAACTACAGCAGCTGATTTGTTAAAATATCATTTACATAGTTTTTATTGTTTTCAGTATCAGGTTCATTTTTTATTGTAAATCAGATTTTTACCTCTAGGTGTAATTTATTATTTGTTTCCTTGAGAACATTTTCCAAAATTTTGGAACAATCGGCTAATGCATTTGAAATTACAGCTTGCGACTGGGGGAGCGGTGGAGATATTGGAAAGAAAATTAATCGTGGAGGTGGGGATGGAGGTGATGATGATGGAGACGATGATGATTATTTCGATGACTTTGATGATGACGGTGAGGGAGACGAGGGTGGACTCTTTAGAAGGCGGATGTTTCTGGAAGAGGTAAGAGATCAGAGTCTAACAGATTCATTATGCATATTTAACAACTTATTTAGCGAAATGCTTAAGGAATAAATATTCACTTGAATTCTTGGATTTTCCTTCATTTTCTTTCCAGCTTTTTGATCGAAAATTTGTAGATGCTGTATTGAATGAGTGGCAGAAGACAATGATGGAATTGCCTGCTGGCCTCCGACAAGCTTATGAAATGGTTTAGCGTCTTTTCTTGTTGGTGTATCACATGGTCAAGGACTTTTTCTGTTTGGATGCTGACAAAAGCGTTTTGCCTTCAGGGATTGGTCAGTTCAGCACAAATGGTAAAATTCTTAGCAATAAATGCCAGACCAACCACCAGTAGATTTATTTCTCGAACACTCCCAAAAGGAATGTCTCTGGCATTTATTGGCAGGTAATCCTTGATACGCTCATGTTCGCCTCTTGAGGATGTCTCCGGCAATCTGGATGAAATGAATATTAGATTACAGCATATCGTAGAATCTATCATTGATACTTACGTATAAACTTTTTCTGTTTTAGGATGCTTGCAGATCCTGCCTTTTTATACAGGCTTCTTTTAGAGGAGGTTGCTACAATTGGTACTTCTGTTTGGTGGGAGGTGAAGAATCGAAAGGATAGGTGATTTTAAATAACATGATGCGATGCATGTTTGCCTTGTTTCCATTTTGGTAAATCAAATTAATAGAGTTGATTTACTTTGTGTACAGGATTAAGCAAGAATGGGATCTTGCTCTAATGAATGTTCTCACAGTGGCAGCTCTTGTAGTTTGGTCTCTTGCTCCATGTTGTTCTTATGGAAACACCTTCCGGTTTGACTTGCAAAACACGTTGCAGAAGCTTCCAAACAATATATTTGAACGGAGTTACCCACTTAGAGAATTTGACTTGCAAAAGAGAATCCATTCTCTTTTCTACAAGGCAGCAGAGTTGACTGTTGTTGGATTAGCTGCTGGAGCAGTGCAAGGCTCTCTATCAAATTTTCTAGCTGGTAAAAAGAAGGAAAAGTAAGTAGATTTCACTGATCTTCAGTTATCTTTTTGTTCCATTTATTTGGAAAGGAGAACCCTTTCTTCTTGTTAGTAGGCTTATTTTACTTGTGCATTAATGGTGGCATTTTTTTAACTGTTGGCAGGTTATCTGTGAGTACCAATGCACTCGGTTATGGTGCATTCCTTGGACTCTATGCAAACCTTAGATAACAGCTTTTATGTGGATTTGATCAAGCAGTTTTCAACCATTTTGATGTCATTGGTGTAGCGTTGTTCTTCAGCACAGCTTTAAGGTCTCTTTCTCTCTCTCACACACATCCGCCTTCCATATCCCTTTCTTTGTTTCTCTTGTTTTTGTTGTGCCAAATACTTCTGACAATTTGCTCAGTGGTTCCTTCTTTCTGTTGATGACGTACATGGAGTTTGTGGTATTTTTTTTGTCTCACCTAACCGTCCTGTGCAGGGTTTTGAATGTTCAATTAGGGGAGAGATCAAGGATGGTTTGGCTAGGTGTTGAGGTGGATACGCTCATTCATTCAGATGACCTCTTGAAAGCTTACAACAGACCTTCTGAGGATGGCGCTAGGTCATCTTCTAAATGGTTTATATCCAAGAACGCCGTCGTTTCCGGCCTTGGACTTCTTGGCATCAGGCAAGGAAATGCAGTTCCGTTGCCAATGGAGAAACTGGAGCTCCAAAGGCCCGGAGAAAGAGGATTGTCCGGAAGAAGGTAACTGCAGGCTCTACATAGTTGGCTGGCATGGCTGTCCAATTTTGCTGCTTGATGAATCACATAAAGTGTAGCTTGTAGATGATTTTGGGGGGAAGAGTTCTCGACTGTTCGTATTAGTTTTAGATTGAATGTTAAATATTTGGTCATATTTAATGAAGTGCTACACTCCAAGTTGAGAGCCCTTAATGAATTGCAAGGGATATTATTTTTTGGTAGATCCTTGTTTACTGAGATGAACCACAATAGAGGATTGTGTGGCCATTTCATACCTTACTTTCTTCAGCTTCTCCTTTCAGGGTTTCTTTACACGAAACGTGCTTTCTTCGGAAAATAGCTTCTTCAACGAAATATCATTAGCAGTGGTTATCAATTTAATGTTGAACATATACACTGTTAAACTCAAAATTGAATTTTAAATTAAGGTTTTAACTCGAACTGAAAAAACAAGAACATTTGTAGTACGATGTCGAAATACAATTGCATAGAAAATTGACAATCCTTGGGATTCGAACCCAAAACGCAACCAACTTAATTAGCTCTTATCACAAACAAATACCTCTTAGAAAGTGAGAGAAGGAAAAGTAAAAGAAATATCGAAGATTGTAAGACAAGAAAGTGCCAAAAACTACATTATACGGTAGAGACAAGGTATCGATTAGTTGAGGAAGTAAGCAAAGTCAGTCTTTTGGGATTCTGCCGGCAAGCGCTTGTAGATTCACCAACTCCCTCACGTATTCTCCCCCCCCCCCCCCCCCCATTTGAGCAAGTTATGCTCATTTAAAACCAACCAACATTAGCCTTACATGGCTGTCTCCAAGTGCCTCTTGCTTGCAGCTTTACTCTACTATGGCATTGCCTCATCATCCCATTTTATTTTTCTGCATTTTCATCATCTTTGCATCAGGTAACTTTACCGTTTTAGTTGTATCTGTTTTTTTTACAAGTTTTTGTGCTAAATTGTAAATGTAATCACTTTGCATTTATATTTGATGATAAGGTGCAACAAAGCATGCGAATGCGAAAAATTTTACTCTCGTGAATCAGTGCAAAGACACGATATGGCCAGCGATAATCACAGACGGAAGCAACTTCCATGGCGAAGGATTTACGTTGAAACCAGGAGAAACCGCCTTCTACGATGCCCCGAACGGTTGGAGTGGTCGTATATGGGGTCGAACAGGTTGCAGTTTCGATAAAAACGGAAATGGAACATGCCAGACAGGCAACTGTGGCACTTCTGTTAATTGTACAAGCTCCGGTAGTCTCCCTGTTACCATTGCTGAATTCACACTTGGCGATATCGATTACTACGATGTTAGCCTCGTGGATGGCTTTAATTTGCCTATCGTGATTAAGCCTGGTGGTGGTAAAGGAAACTGCAGCATAGCTGGGTGTGACGGAGACTTGAGGCAAAATTGTTCATCGGATCTCGTTTTTAAGAAAGAAGGGAAGGTTGCCGGTTGCAGAAGTGCCTGCGATGCCTTCAATACTGATGAATATTGTTGCCGTGGGGCGTACAAAGATCCAGTTGCTTGTTTGCCTTCGAATTATTCCAAGAGTTTCAAACAAGTTTGCCCTGCAGCATCTAGCTATGCTTATGATGACCGTATTAGTATCATAACTTGCTCTGCATCAGATTACATGTTGGCATTTTGTGCAACAAGGTAAAGTAATATCATAGTTTCAAATGTATATGTATGTATGTATGTATGTATGTATAGTATAGCATTGAGAAATGGGTATTTGCTGGTTTCAGGAACAATACAATATGCAGCTTTCAGGATGAGAAGCTTGTTTGCAGTGTTACATCAGAGGGCTTTAAAGCATTCTCTCAAACATGGAGGATTGTGATGCTGGCATTGCCGTTCGCTTCCATTTTACAAATTTTCTTTTAGATGATTCCGGTCAAAGTTGTTTTGATTTGTATCATTTTGAAATCTAAATTCATGTTATGCTGTTTATTTCTGTGTGTAATGAGAAGAATCGTCGTGGTAGATAAAAACACAAAGTGTATATCTGTAATACCCCAAATATCGGGTCAGTGACTGAAATGTAAGGATTTAAAATTTATGGTTTGACTTGAATAATTTGAAAAATTTAAGAACTGATTTTGAAATTTATGTCTAAGACTTATTATCAAAGATGGAAGAATAGAATGACAAAGAGATCTTCTAGCATGAATGAATTTAAAATTCATTTCTTAAGGCTATATAACATGTGATAAAAAAAGGAAGAAGTAAAAAAGAAAAATCTGGAAGCTCTTCTTCTTCTCTTCCACCGTAAAACTCTCTTGTCAAGATGAGTTCTTTTAAAGTTTGTTAATCCTTTCATTTTGGTTTTGAAGCCTTGAGTGGTATAGAAACTTAAGGAAAGCTTTAGGATAAAAAGAAACTAAGAGTTGGTGAATTAAGAATGTATTAATAAAATGAGTTTTTAAGTGATGATGAAATTTGGTTAGTAATTGAATTCTAAAAGCATATTTGACTTGTCAATGGTGTGAATAAGAAATTTGAAGTCTTAGAAATGATTGAGAACATGTTTGAATATTTGGAATGATTTTTAGTTTTAAGTGTTCCGTAAAGAATTTGGAAGTTAAAAGGTAATTAATAGATATAAGTTAGTTGTGATAAATATTAGTAAGTTTAAGGGTTTGATTGGAGCTAAAAGTATAAGATTTAGGTGAAGTGTGGGTAAAATTCGAAGTGAAAGATGTACAATCTAGGGAAGGGTATCGGTACTGGAAGAACAATACCGATACTATAAGGTTAAATTGAAATAAATAGTATGAATCGGATGAACAATATCGATACTGATTAAAGTAGTATCTATACTGATGTGGAGGTATGGATACCAGGAGTAAGGTATCGGTACTGTAATTGAAAATGGAATTTCCAGAATGCCAAAATGGTATCGATACTAAAGTGGGTATCGGTACTATAGAAGAAAAATATCAATACTGTGGGTAGATTACCAATACTATTCAGTCTAAAATGTTAAATGAAGGGTTTTATTCTGATTATGTAAGTACTAATTGGTTATTCGTTAATGGAAATTCAATATTGATATTGGACTTTTCTATATGTAGATTTGGATCAAAAGCGTATCGGATAAATTGACATAGTAAGAGATTGAACAAAAAGAAAAAAGATTTCGTTTAGGATTTACGTGAGGCAAAAGTGAGTGTATTTTATTTATGCTTTCAAAATATGGAATGAGGAATATTTGCGATGAGTCAACCTCGGCTGATTTGGAAAGAAATTATTTTCAAATTGTTTATTATATATATTTTACCTTGTTTTGTTAAATAGTTTCTTTGAATGAGTTTGGTTGTGAATTACCCAAACTATTTTATATGCTAAGTTCTTTTTATCACATATGAAATATTTTAATTATATTGATTATGTGAATGATTTCTATCGAGAAAAATAAATGATTTTGAGTTAAGCCAATATATGATTATATGATACATATGAATATGTTCTATGTGAGAATGTTATAAGTGAAAATATCCTACGTGAAAATACCTATGTGAATATGTGACTAAAAGATACATAAATAATAAATGTGAAATAATTATATGGAATAAGCCCAAAGTATATTTTATGACAATTAGAGGTATAGTTGGCATGCCAAGAGTCAGGGTTCTACGCGGTCCTTCGGGACAAATTTCTACGCGGTCCTTCGGGACAAATCTATGTGGCACTTCAATGCATATTCTACGTGGCACTTCGGTGTAAATCATATGAGCAGTGGTGACTGCAATTAGTGCACAACCTCAATGTACTCACATATCTTGAGTTCTCAATGATATACTTTGGGCTAATAAGACAAATTGATATAATTTGACTAATGTGTAATAGTATACAATGTTTTTCATGAAGAGTCTATTGGTTTTTATATGAAATGAGTTCAAGGAAATATATAAGCAAGTGTCAAATGGATAAAAGTTAATTAATGTTTAATAGTAGATGTTATAAATTATGTAGGGTATGAAGTTTTTGTAAATAATATTTCTTTTGGAAATATTTAAATAAATGATTTATTGTTTTATTATATTCATTATACCTCACTAAGTAATAGACTTAGCGTGTGATTATTTTCACACGTAGGTTCAAAGAGATTCGAGGAGTAAGTCGAATAAACAAGCGCATGACATCATACCTGTGAAGATTATCAGATCAGTGAAATTTGAATTGTATGTTTTTGTTTTGGAAATTTTGGTTGGCATATATCATAAATGTTTAAATAATATATGCTCTGATATGTATTTTAACTAAGTTTATTAAATTTGTTTTCATTGTCAAGTTTTAATCGCATTTTACAAGAGTCAAAGTTTTGAAAATTAAATTTGACACCTCGGATTTGTATCCGGATCATGTACGGGTTGAGGGTGTTACAATCTCTATGTTCGAATTTCAATGTCTGCAACTCTTTCTATGCTTATGCTTATGAGCATAAAAGAACTGATTTTTTTCACTATAGAACTACAAAGTGTATATGGATGTCAAAAAACTACGTCTCCAATCCCTCTGCATTGTTTCTGATTGCATTTTTACCAGTTTGGCTTTTTTGGTTCACTGATTTGGACTCCTTGTCTTCAAACGGTAATACAATTACGGGGGCTGCCGGCACCGTAACCCAACGCTCTTTCAAGAAGTTTAGGAATCTCTTGACCATTTCCCTCCTGAATTCGAGCTCTCGGGTGAAGAGATCGCATAGAACAAACGCAAGTACGTACTTGAAAGGTATGATGAGAAGAATGGTTGCGGACATTAAAAACACTAGAGCAACCTCGGTTGTTATCTGCAAAAAAATGTTAAATGAATATAATTGATTCCAAATTTGCCAAAGCAGTATAGAGTCACAATGTTCTTGTTGCGTTCGCATTCGTGAATCATGGCATCGTACCTGAGGCTGACCGGCAAGGAGGATCGTGCGTAATTTCAGGAGAGTAACGTTCAGATTCTGGAGAAAATACTCCACGTCGCGGATGCCATCTTTTACTGCTATGATCTTTTGAATAGTATTTGAAGGTGGCTGATCACGTATAGTGACTTTCCCGAAAGATCTACCAAGACGACCTTGCTCCTTGAGGCCTTTAAGGGTTAGCATGCAGGCTGCTAAGACAATCAAAGCCACCGGAAAAACATATGGAAGCAGGTTTCTAGGGCATAAATGTTCAACAAATCAGCATATCAGTGCTCATATGGAGTGATAAGAGGGAAAATAACAACAAAGGTTGCTAACAAATAAGACCGTCGCCTTCTATCACAAGATAAAGCTCGTAACCCCACTCTTTAACCATGAGCTAAAGCTCGAAAGTAAAGAACAAATTTCTAAATGTAGAGACCGAAATGTAGACCACGAACCTGAAAATAATTGTATAAACAAATGCAAGGAAAGAGACAGTCAAGTGTGGCTCCTCCCAGCGTCTAAGCTTGTCAAAATTCCGAGCAGTGATTGTAAAAGGAAGAAGAAGTTCCTGTGTAAAGAGAAGCATCAGTTCAACCGATTGTCGTATAGGTTATACGTATAAAATAAACAGGACATGCTGAAACAAGAACAAACGCATGATAAGAAGCCAAAAAAAACATAGTAAATAGATGCGAACCTTGAAAAGGTCGATATTACTGGGTATCCCTTCAAGTTTCGCTGCATCGATGGTGGCTTGAGTTTTTTCCACTGCCTGGTATTTTTGTTTACAGATCCCTGCTGCCCTTTCAATGAGAGACTTATCAGCCACAACAAGATTTTTATTTAGCACTACTGCTGGTCTACTTGAAGAATGCTTCCAAAAACTAATGGAAGCACTAGAAACCCAAGATGGAGATCTCATCCACTTCCGCAGGTAAACACTTCCGTCGATGTCAAATACATGATCGCTGATATCTAATGCTGATTCAGAAGGGATTGTTCCTTCAGCTCGTTGATACCCCGCATCCGTAGCTTTTACAACTAATGGTCCACCCCAATAGTTTACGGCTAGAGTTTGGAACACGAGATCACCATGGGGTGCATTTTGCAAAAACGATAACTGAACAAGTTTGATTGGATCATCCAACAACTTTCGCATGAACTGGAGTGCTTGAAGTCTAGCAATGCCATTAACGGCACCAGTCGTAGCCTTTTGCTTCCCTTTTTGAGAACCGAATACTTGGGACAGTGATCGGTCATTATCATCCGGTCCATACTCACTAAGAAACTTGTGTAGAGTTATAATTTCACTGATAGATGCGTGCCAAACATCTCGCCTCAATTCACCTCCCAAGTCGACAAACTCCAACACCCATGTTTGCGTTCTGAATACAAGTTCAAAAATAATTATTTATTCAAGAGGAATTCCAACGGGGAAAAAATGGACCTTCAACTACATGGCTAAGTCAGCAACAAAACACTGGAGAAGCTCACCCCGGACCCGATGAAACAGCTACTCCAGAGTCAAAAAGCCCTGAGTTGAAAGGCCCGACTTTTACTTTCTTAACATCCAATCCCGGACCTGTAAGATCAAGTCTTATTGGATCGTTTTGACCTTTAAATTTAACAGCCTGCAACAACATAAAAGTCATCAATCTCCCATGCAATTATTTTGATTGTTCTAAGTTCCCTCGCAAACTCGTTAAAAATTTTCGAACTTTTCAACTCATTTGCTTAGTGTTCTAGAAATGAGTCTGCATTTACCAGTCAACTCATGAACTAATGAAAAGGTATCATGGGCTACAACATAAAGTTGATAGACAAGTTATTATCGAGAAAATGTACCTCGAAGTACAGGGCTTTATCGGTTAGAGTAAGTTTCCCAGGCCATGCCATGTTATTCTCCCATTTTAGAACAGGTCGTTTCCTGCTAGAGCCGACGCACAAGATTCTTTCATCTGAAAGCTGAGGATATTCATGGATTTGATACGATCTCCTTCCTTCATGCACTCTACACTAGAACTAGCAGGAATCAAGCTTAGCACTACGGCAATAACAAATGAAAGTAACACGTTAAAAAGGGTGCAACAACCTGTGTTCAATACCATTGTACTTCTACTGTCAAGGCTCCGGTAATAAAACAAAAAAAATAAAACGAAAGGAAAGGAAATATGAAGGAGAATAAAACTTAGATATATTTAATATTTTTAGCATGGTGAGGTTGAGCAATTAGTGATTGTTTATTTTACTGTCAAGTAACCGACGTTGAAGTTTAATTAAATTAGCAACAATAGCATGAAATCAGAAGCTTACTTGAGAAGTTCATTGATATAAGTTAACCACACTCTTAATGAGATGCCCGGTTCATCACAGGCAAGAGCTTTGAAAAGGTTATGTACTGTAGGGTGATCAGCCACACCCGAAATTGCAGGAGCGATTCGAGTAAAAGCTTCTTCTCCCACTAGCTTTCCCTTCAATAACACCAAGAAAAATATTGATTTTAAAACTCCCACTCTTGAATGGTAATTATTCCATAATGCTTTAAATGTTAATAAAAGAAAAGGACCTTAACAGAAGATTTCGTGAGTGCATAAGCATGCGAATTGTTTTTATCACTGTAAGGATTCTCCCAAGCAAGCATTGTGATGAACATTAATCTCTGGAATGCATGTTCCTGTAAAAATATCAATAATACACATGAAAACAGTAAGAGACGCAGAAAGCGAGTCAGTAATAATAAAAATGGACATAAAGCATTCGGATAATAATAGTTCTACAGACCTTGAGGCAGGGATGCAGATCAGAGGCATCCCTTGACAAGAACCTAAAGCAGCAATACTCCACTAAGTTACGAGCATCATCATACTCGGGTTTCGGAATGAGAGCTTTGAATATCTTCTGCATTCTTTTGCCACTCAATCCATTCATCCTGTAAACTCAACTTCCAATAGTCATTATCACAATCCAAACTAAACATTGTCCTAAGTTAATCAAATAAAACATTCTTGGAACATGTATACTTGGGCAACAAAACACACAATTCGCATAATTCTTGATAATTTCACCTGCTAAACTGCTCAATAGACACAATAGCAGCTAATGAAAGATTTCCATTAGGCATACTACTAGGAATGATTCCTTCTGCCATGAAGATGTCTTCAATGTCTTGAGTGCCAGCTTCATTTCCAGTATCAGGTTTTCCGGTTCCACTTTGAGCGGTTTTTACAAGTGGCAAAGTTACCTCACTCAAAAAATGTTGGGTCTTTGACAGCCATGAATTCATTCTTTCTTGCAAAGTCTCTGTCAAAAGACCAAAAACGTAAGTGCAAGCATAGAACTCAGAATTAAGTTGGAAAAAACCAACAAATTTACACTTATGAATCATAAAGAGATTAGAAGGTGAATAATTTCATACTGGGGTCAATGTCATTGAGCTTCCATCTATCCCTCTGAGCTCCCACAAGTTTGAACCTTAGCTTGTGCTTTGAAGCAGATCTTGTTGACAAATACCCAAACTTGGAAATGTTTTCATTGCTGTTTATCAGATAATTCAACCCAAAATCCGATGCTTTTAACTGAGTAACCGGCAAACTTAAAACCATCTTTTTCTACAACTTTTTCCTTTCAAGATTGAAGAGCTGAATCCATGATTTGAGTTGAAAACAAGTTTTCTTGGTAACTGATTTCCAAAGATTCAAGCTTTTGTTTTAGCCAGTGTTCAAAGATTCAAGCTTCGAGACAGGTTTCTATCAAAAGATGTTGGAAATCAAAGAAGAAGAAGAAGAAGAAGAGAAGCGTGAGGGGCTGGCTTTCTTTTTAGTGCTAGAAACTTCAAACTTGGATGATTGCTTCAACATTTGCTAGCTGACACGAAACCAGACCGAACCCAACACTCAAATTTGTCTTTTAAGTTGGAACAAACTACCACCACGTATATTAGCTTTAAGCATCTCGTTTAACTTGTGATCAATGTTTTTTTCCTCGAAATATTTGTCATTTTTTCCTCATATAGCTAACCACGATAGACGTTATCCAAACTCAATACACATTAGATCTGGTTCACCAATCGCCTGTCTTAAATCCCTATTTCCTTGTTATTTTTGTCTTATTGTCCCTTGTCTGTAACCTGCGAGTTATAATCATTCTACCAACGAGAAATTTGTTGACACGAAATAAAACCCAACCCAACCCAACAACTAAAATTGTCTTTGAAGTTGGAACAAACCACCACACCTTTGTGTGTTTTTAACTTTCGTTTAATATATTTTCCTCAAAATTTGTAGTGTTGGTAATTCTACCTAACATGTTGAACACAAGTTTACTCGTAGATATTCGAATAATGAGTCGCCATGGGCAATCAATAAATCCGTGGAGCATTGAAGAAAATGAAGGCGATCGTAGCAATAAAATTGGCTGATCCTAATAGAGATAAGGTCGGTCTTATAAGTTTTAGCTCTTTGTCTCGACTCGACTAATCGAATATGATGGCTGGAGGCCCAAAAGCACAAAGCTCCTCTTGCGCATTTCATCAAGCACTTTCGGGCCTCTCGTAAACTCTACCTTTCAATTCATTTTAGTGAACAAAAACCCAATAGCACCATAACAGAGCCCATGCCGGGAACTCCACCTCTTATACTTTGTCACGTCCCTCCATCATTACAACTGTTTTGAACTAACCCTCTTAGGGATGGTAAACGGACGGGTCAGGTGCGGATACCCTCTTCTCCATCTTCATACCCACTTAATATTTTTCAATCTACCACCAATGATGGGTACAAATTTTCAAATCCACACCTGCTCACGCATGTACATTTTCAAATCTATCTCCACACCCACTACCCACTAGCGACATACCCATCTAAACCCGCCTGACAGCAAACTAATGGGATGTTGGAGTTGGTTCCTAGACAGTTCGTGATGGGTAGCAGCGCATGCTTCAATTTGTCAGAGGAGTAGCTCTACGAATGTTATGGAGACAGATTGTAGGGAGCATGTAGTCGCAGAGCTGAATTGTTGTGTTGCTTTCGATATTAATGCTCATAGTGCGCCTAATATGGGTTTTGAGGGGCTAAAGAACATGGAAACTGCTGCTTTTGATGTTAATGCTTATAGTACGGCTAATTTGTGTTTGGATGGCCAACATGAGCTAAAGAACATGAAAAGTGAAGTGGTTAGTGGGATTATGGGTTTAATCAAAGAGCCGAATATTTCCCTAATTAAAGACTAGATTAAAGACTAAATATCCTTAATATTTGGATAAATTATATGTTATATATTATACAATATTAAAATTTATAAATTAGTCTCTAAAATTACATTTAAATTCATAATGGTCCAAAATTTAATAGATATTTAGCTGGGTGGGCAGATGTGGGGCAGGCGGATACGGGGCGGGTAATGTCTCAAACCCATTGCCGGCCCACCACCCACGACGGGTACCACTTTATAAATCCACACCCGCCCACTACCCGCTAAAATTATACCAATCTCCGCTCCAATTAAAACGGATGCGATGCGGAATCCACACAATTATACCCGTTTGCCATCTCTAAACCCTCTTAAATAAATCATTGTCCTTCACTTCTTGTATTAATAAACAAATTAAAATTAGAGACTCATTAATTGGTTGAATGGTTTAAGATGCTTATATTATTTTATCTAATATTTTCAAATCTCGACATTTGTTTTAGAGCATAATATCTCTCTACTTAATTTAAAAATAAACTAAAACTAGATATTAATCACTTTTAAATATATTTCAATTCTATTAATCGATAATTGGTTTTTTATATGCTAATAAATGGTAACTTCTACAGATCTTGTATTATTTAGTTTTATATAACTAATTTGATTCATTTAATAGTAAATAGACTAATTCAAATCAATATCCCAGCATAAGGTCCTACCCTCTAATTTCACCATTAATCGATTAGGGTATCGATTCTTTTTTCTTTTTATTTTACTAATTTTTATGCTGTTCAATCAGACAGCACAACCAACAGGCTCAGAGTGAACTTTCAACGTCATCAACTATTACATTTTTCGTAGGCGTTATTGTATTAAAAACCCAATTAATTAATTTTTTAAAAATAACCCCAAATCAGATTAATTAAAAAAATATTTTAAATTATTCACGTAAGATAATCTCATGTTTTATAAAATGAAATATTAGATTTTACGTTTTATAAAAAATGAGTTTCATGCATTTATTATTGTCTTTATCTAAAATTAAATAACTTTATTTTAAAAAAATTAATAGATCATACGTTTTATAAAATACAAAGTCCATTAAACGTGTTTTATAATATATGTATAGTCTTACGTGTTTTATAATATATGCATTAAACGTGTTTTATAATTTGAAGCTGGTTTGGTGTTATTTCTATATAAAAAAAGAAGTTTTTTAATAGAATAACTCCTTTTTCACATAGTCCATTGTTTTAATTTTATTTTGAGAAAATAACCTCAGTGATCAAAAATCTCATATAATATACGATTTTAATCAACTTTTTCCGGATTTGCCAAAATGACCAACAAAATCGCAATGCGATCGCTAATTCGCAACGCGATCTCCATTATCGCAAATTCGCGTTGCATTTCGCGTTGCGATAGTTGGAAATCGCGTTGCGATGGTATACAATGTCGTTGCGATTTTCCCAATTCGCAATGCGAAGAAGTAAATCGCAACGCGAATTGGGAAAATCGCAATGCGATACTGACTATCGCAATGCGATACTTACTATCGCAATGCGATAATACAAAATCGCAACGAGATACTGACTTTCGCAACGCGATTCTGACTTTCGCAACGCGATTTACATAGCGCCATTCGTATTAACGCGTATTTTTTTTTCAAATTCCAAACACAAATTTTTTCTTAATAAATCGGAAACTGAACCGTCCACAGTAATCGCAACTCATAACCTCAAACCCAAAAACACAACACTCAGTCCCATCTCCATCTCTCACTCTCTACGGCGAAATCCGTCCCCATCTCCGAAGATTTCCGTCCCCATCGCCGGCGAAATCCCTCACAACCATTCACAGTCAAAAATCCCTCACAATCATTCAGAAATGGAAAATCAACCTCCGAGGGTTAGTTTTTTTTATTTTTATTTTGAAATTTTTGCATTATTTTAGGTTTTTCATATTGAGATTGATGATAAGTTTACTGGTAATTTCAATAATAGATTAACCATTTCACTTAGATTTCTTATTAAATTCATTCGATTGCTGCCAATACTGCTAAACTGTTTAGCCTGTGAAGTTAGTATTTGTCTTTGCTTTGTCTTTTTGGTTGAAGTAATGCAGAAGAATAATAGTTTCGAGAATGAAAATCGTAACGCGGAAATAACTATCGCAACGAGATAATCGCGTTACGATTTTTATTTCGCGTTGCGATTTTTATTTCGCGGTTGCGATTTTCATTTCGCGTTGCGATTGACTGGTCGCGATAGTCATTTCGCGTTGCGATTGTCTGGTCGCGATAGTCATTTCGCGTTGCGATTCTCTCGTTGCGATAGTCATTTCCGCGTTGCGATTCTCATTATCTCGTTGCGATTTTTATTTCAACCAAAAGACAAAAACAGTGTTGCAAATTTTAGTTTCAAGAATAAACTACTATTTATGTTTATTGTTTTGTTTTTGGTATATATTGACAGTGTAATTTTTGGTATATCTAACTTGGTATGTTTATTGTTTTTTTGTAGAAATTTTTTTCGGCTTCATTGACATTAAGGAATAAAGTTATCCTAGCCACTACAATTGCTTCGAAGCTTTCACCTGCAAAAAGAAAATTATTTGAAGAAACCTGCTTCGGGCCATGGCTAAGAGTACAACATCCGAGTGGAGATGCTAGTTTGACCCATTTGTGGCTTCAGACCATGACTAGCGATCTACCCGACAGTATACAATGTGGTGAGGAAGAGATATGGTTTCATTTTCCACCGGCGTATACTTGTTTTGGGCGGAAGGAGTTATGCTTAATCACTGGTCTACGATTCGGACACGATGATGTAGGCCGGTACACTCGTCATATCACCTGCCCATCATGGTTATCCAGAGTTTTTCCTGATGAGTCAATAGAGAAGCCGAACTTACACGTCGACGACATGAAGAAATTGTTTAATAAGAAAGATGGTTTTACTCGGATGAATGACGTCGATGTTGTCCGAGTATGCCTTCTACTACTTTTGTATGCCGGCTTTTTAGGCAGAGAGGCCAGACAACCTATTCCTCAGGAGCTAATATTATTGGTAGAGGACCTAAATGCATGGAATCTGTTTCCGTGGGGTTCGTATATATGGAAAGCTACCTGGACTAAGTTGTCGTCTGCCTTTGATGACCGCAAAAGTTTACGGGGCGATGGGTCGAAATACACTTTGTCAGGCTTTGTTTGGGCTTTTAAGGTAAGAATTTCTATATAATGTTTTCAAAATTATAATTAATTATTTAACAATTACTAATGTTTGTTATTATATTGTTTGTAGATTTGGATATTCGAGGCCTTTCCCGCCATGAAGACATATGCAATAAAAACTTCAAATGATATTCCCAGGGCTATTTCCTGGAAGAGGAAACGTCTGTTGGATTGGGAAGACTTAATACCATATGCGACAATAAATAATGTAAGTTAACACAAATACTATCATATATAAACAAGTTATTAATATTAGACGTTTAACTTTGTTTGAGTTTTTATATTTTTAGGAGGCCGACATTCCATTAATGAGACTGACACCCACGGAGGCTGAGCTTGCCACTGATTGGTGGCAAGCTAGTCAGCGTTTTCTTGATGGCACGAATGATGAGCAGCCTCCACTTCCTCCACTTCGAGAGCCATCACCTC